TTCAATATTACCAACAAATGTATAAAATTTTTGGGAAGTTATATAACATTATGGAAATCTTAATAAATACAAAATATACAGCTACTTTTTTTCTTACCAACTTTATTGAGAAATAATTTATATACAGTAAACTACATTTAAAGAGAACAATTCATTCATTGACTTTTGGCAGTTGTAACTACATACTGAAGTACCACCATAATTTAGACACATTTCTATCATCTCCAAAAGATTTCTCCTGTTTCTTTTCAGTGTGTTCCTCCCTTTGCTCCAGTGCTAGGCAACCACTGATCTATTTGTCATCACAGATTTGTTTGCATTTTATATAAGTGGAAGCATACACTGTGTACTATTATGTATCTGCCTTCTTTCACCGTAATTGAGATTCATCCATATTGTGCGTATCACTTTCTTTCTTTTTACTTCTCAATAATATCCATTGTATAGACATTTATCCATTCACCTGTCAATGGCCATTTTGGGTTATTTCCAGTTTGGGGCTATTATGAATATAGCTGTTAGGAATATTCATGTACAGGGTTTGTTTGCACCTAAGTTTTTGTTTCTCTTGGGTAAAAACCTTGGACATGGAATGGCTTGGTATGTGTTTATCTTTTAAAGAAACTGCTGAACAGTTTTCCAAAGTGGTTGTGTCACTTTACAGTCCCAGCAGCAGTGTATGTGAGTTCTCATTGCGCCACATCCACATTTGGTGCTGGCAGTTTTTAAACTTTTACCCATTCCGGTGAGTGTGGAGTATGTGCACTGTGGTATGCATCTCTCTGAGGACTACTGTCAAGCCTCTTTCCGTGTGTTCATCGACCACTCATATATCTGATGTGAAGTATTCAAACTCCTTTGACAACTTAAAAAAATTAGGTGCTTAGTTTTTTTCCTTATTGAATTGAATCCTTTGCATATATTCTGGATACAANTCCCCTTCCCCCAATTCCCCAGCACTGTTCCCTTCCCCCCAATACCCCAATAAAAATCTTTAAAAAAAAACCCAAAAAACTTATCAGTGTGATACTGGAATGGTAGATACACGTCATTATACATTTGTCAAAACCCATAGAATGTGTAACACAATGCATGAACCCCAATGTAAACCGTGGATTTAGTTAAAATAATGCATCGATATTATATTATCTCATCACTTGTAAGAAATGTACCACACTGATACAAAGTGTTAATGATAGGGGAAAATGGGGGGTCGGGGGAAGGGCTTGAGGGGTATGTTGGAACTCTTTGTACTTTACACTCAAGCTTGCTGTAAATCTAAAACTACTCTAAAGAAACAAAGTCTGTTAATTAAAAAAAATATATTTAAGTTGGTGAAAATATGCTACAAATAATTTATCTCATTTGAATCTAAGTCAGCCATTCCTTTTCAAGCTCTTGCCAGTGTTGAGAATTGTCAGTCTTATATAATTTTTGAAGGTTAATAATGATAGGTTACTCTCTCACTCTCTTTTGTTTTTCACAAATAGATCTTCGGGGGCTACTAGTAATTCTTGTTCTCCATTAAATGCCACCTCAGGAAGTGGGCAATTCACACCTGTTAATCCAAGAGCAAAGGTATGTGATAAAATATAATTGTGAAATGTATGGCAGGTGGCTGTTTAGTGATTTCCATTCTTAATTATTATTCCTGTTATCCTAAAGATGATATAAAATTCTTAGAAAAAAAGAAATGTTAATTCACCTTCATTAGAAAAACAAATAAGCCATGTACTTTGTTGTTTTCTAGGGTAACTAAAGATAAAGGTAAAATTCAATAGGATTTGATTTCAAAAATCTTTAAAGACTAGAAATTACTGGTTTCAGGCAGAGGCTCCCAGATAGTATGGCAGGACACCCAGGCATGCCTCGAAAGGGTTGTAGGCAAACTGAGATATATTGGTTCCCTAATTCTTTGCTGTGGGTCAGGTGGGGCTTGGGATAGCCAGAGAGCCCTGGGCCAGTCATTTCCCCCAGTGTGCCATATCTGAGTGTGCTACTGGCTAGAGAAGTTACGGCACAGAGGGCAAACCAATGTCTCACATAGTCTTCCTGTGCTCTGATTTGCTATAGGAATATATAGAAACTGAGCATCTTACAAAATATATCCAAAATGTTTAGAAAAGGAACTTTACGTGTTGGCAGTTCAACAAAATACAGTTCCTCTGAGTGTTTGGTCAGAACAAATTGTGAGGATATCTTGAAAATCATAAACATTACATTTGCGAACTTGAGCTAACAGCTGTCTGATATGGGGGGAATCTTTCCTCTTCTTATTACTAAGTTTAGTAATTAGACCAAATAGTGAGTGTTTCAATAAAAATTGAGTAGCGATAGCCCAAGTTAATTGATAGACTCAGATATCCCAACTATCTGCCCTTTGCTCGTCATTATATTCTAAAAAAAGATTCAAGTAAACTATTTTATATAATTTGCCCTTAATTTCTGGAATTTAGTAATTAATTTAATTTAGAAGATCAAACAACTCTTTTTGTTATTTTTAAAAGTTATACCTATGATTTGTATAAAGTCTGGATTTGCCCTTTTTAAAACAATTTGGTCTCCTAAATCAATAAGGATATCCGTTGACCAGGGAATCAGTTATTTGGGAGTGTCTCTGTTTGAGAATAGAAATTGCCAGTAGTAATTAATTATCAGGACCAGTCAGTGGCATAGGATAACTCTGGTTCTGTGTACTTGGTCTAATTGTAAGTCTTGAATGGTCTCGTAATTCTGAGCACTTTCTTAATCCTTTTTGCATCTTTGTTCAACAGATTGAGAAACAAAATGAAGAAGGCTGGTTTGCTCTTTCCTCCCATGTGTCATAAGTGAAGTCAAGTTTACAGTTTGTTCTCAGTAACATGTTCTTGAGCTTCCACTTCCCTTCCCCTGTTCTTCCTCTCAAGTTGTTAGTGTCCTTCTTTCAGATAAAACCTGCAAAGAGTGACTTAGTACTAAAAGAACGGAAAAGTAAAGCAATTATTTTATTTTTGAACTTTTCAAATAGATTTCAGATAAACAACCTACAACCTCTTGTGAATAAAATTTTGATTATAGGGACATTAAAGTTTTAGAATCTAATAATTTTATAAGTATTTTAAGGCTTTTTTGAGTAATGCATTATTACCTTTATCATCTTTACTTAGATTATTTTTTGTCTACTGTATCTTAAATGTTGATCTATTTTATTTTTTTCTGAAGAACTAAGTTGCTTTGCATATGGCTTAACAATAAAATAATACCTCTGTGTGATTAAAGTCTGGCTTTCAGAAAAATTTAACACCCCCTTTAGTTTCTTACTTTGGGGCAAGTCATTATAGTCCATGACTTTTTCCATCAAATGGAATGGAATGTCCAGCTTTAAAAAGTAGGCGTGGGAGTATTTGTTTATATTTGCTTCAGCACGTAAGAGTGGTTGTATATATTGTAAAATTCTTACATAGTCTTTAAATGTGAAAATGTCAACAATAATGGTACTGTACAACGAATAAAGAATGATCATAGAGCTCAAATGTCTAAATTCAGTAACACTGATTTATTGGTTTCTTTTGTGTTTGAAACAGAATTGAGTAACAAAAGTTGCTATCAATTTTCCCAGCCCTGAATCCATACCAAGAGTTCAGGGTAGGTCTTTCTTCAAGGCACGTGTTTGGCTCTCAGACATTCGTTTCTATTTTGAACTTGCTTTTTAAATTACCTCTGCCCCTTGGCTCTGTGATAGGATTCTCATCCTAAAGGAGGTTGGAGAGGAGTGGGGGAAACACATTGAAGCTATGTACGTGGGGAACTTCGCCTGACAACACCTTCCCTCCTCTTGCAGTTCTAGGTCACTGCTCTGGGAAGTGTCCTATGCAGCTTTCATTTGGGCCTCTTCATTGTTGTGGTAGCAAAAATAATATTAGTTTCTTCTGGTATCACTGATTTTATTCACGTGAAGTCATCTGTATTTATATGCATTATTGCAGATTCTTTCATTTGTGTTGCACTTTTTGAAACTCGGTGTTTAATAAATACTATCCTTGTTTGGGACATGAACCATTTTGGTGTTATTCCCTTTGTTACTGAAAAGTCAAATTATCTGCTTTGTTTGTGAATGCATTCTTTTGACATGCATTTTCCTTAATGCTCTCCAACTGGTTGGCTCTTTATTTTTTCCCCTTATATTCCTTTGAACCTCAAAAGCCATGATTCTGAACTTTGAGAGCATTTAAAAACCGCCAAACTGACTTCCTGGGCAGGTGGGGGATGAGCTGCTGAAAGTGATTTAATGTGCAGCCACAGTTGAGAAGCATTGCAAAAAACTTTTACCACTAGCTCACTGGCAACCTGTGGAACTAACATTTAAGTATCCATCCTGTTAATGTTTGTTTTTGCTGATAAAATACAAAAGCGGATTGCAAAAAACTCCAGGAACACCAGATGTGGAGAAAAGAGCCTTTCTTTCTTAGTCTGTCTAAGGCAGTGCCTCTCAGCTTTGGCTGCCCTTAGAGTCATCTGGGGACCTTCTAAAATTGCTAATGCGCAAGTCTCACTCCATACCGATTAAATTAGAACTTTTGGGGGGCAGGACACAAACATTAGTATTTTTTTAAAAACTGAAAATAATTCTTATGTGCAGCCAAGTCTGGGAAAAATCATTATAAAGATAACTTACCATCCCCAAATCATATTTTGGTGCATGTTTGGTTTTAATGAACAATTAAGCTACTTAAAAGCCCTTTTTCTCAGCTTTCAGAGCCAGCTGCATCAGTGGGTCTCAGAGTATGAGCCCCAACCAGCAGTGTCAACATCAGCTGGGGTACTTGTTAGAAATGAAAATTCCTCGGCCTTATCCCAGATTTGTTGATCAGAAACCCTGGTGTCTTATTTATTTATTTATTATTACTACAACTCCTTTATTATTTATTTTTTAGCTGAGCCATTGTGCCACCTGTTGGCAGCTCAGCAGCAGCTCAGCTCAGCTGGGAATCAAACCAGTGACCCTGTTGCTCAGAGCTCACACTGTTGAGCAAGCAAGCTCTTAAACAACTGAGCCACTGGGCTGGCCCCTCTGGTGTCTGTTTTAATAAGCCCTTTATGTGATTCTGATGCATGTCCAAGTTTGGGATCCACTGATCCATAGCATGCAGAGGCTAAACTCTGCTGTATTTGTGACATACTATATTTGGATTTACTTCTAATAGTCCAAACTCAGAGTTCTTGTGTTTAGACTCAGATTTTGGATAACAAACGACTTCTCCAATATGCCCTGGAAAGCTGCTAATCACTTGCTAAACTTTAGTAAAATTTATAGTTCTTAAAATTGTGGCTTGGGAGAGGAACTAGATCGATAATTAAATCCACAGTTGTGGTAGAATCATTCCTACACTGTAGAGCGAAATCATTTGGGTTAGCAGAATTTAATAAAAATTTACTGTTTATTAAGTGCCAGGCACTGTCTTAGCCCCTTTACATGACTTCATGACACCTTTATGAGGATAGGTACTATTATCCTTATTTTGCAGGTAAAGAAACTGAGGTACAAGGAGGTAAGAACTCGCTCAAGGCTACATTACTAGGGAGTGATGGCACTAGAATGGGCACATAGGCAGTCTTCCTCCAAAGCCTATGCCATCCTGCCATCTCCAGTGGTGCGGTATGGAAGCACCGTAACAATAGCTATCTTTTATTGAGCCATTGCTGTGGCAGGCACTGTGCTAAGCTGGAGTATCCCTATTATCTCATTTAAGTCTCACAGTAAACCTATGAGTTAGATGTTAAGTGCCACCCACCCACCTTTACAGAGGAGGAAATTGAACCCTAGAGGTGAAGTAAATTGCCCGTGTCAGAGTTCTTGTAAGAAGGAAAGCCAGGGCTTGAAGCTCTTTTTAAAAATAATTATTGGACCACTCCTAATTTATAAGAAATAATTAGTATAGCATGGTGGCTAAGAGTGCAAGTATTGCAACCAGAAAACTTGGATTCAAATGCTGTCTCTACCACTTTGGCTGTGTCCCTTGGGCAAATTAATCTCATCTTTTCCATTTGAAAGTCGGAGATGATAATATATCTTGCCAATAGGCCTGTGAGGATTAAGTGAGGTAAATATGTGTAAATATGCTAAAAACAGGACCTGACTCACAATAAACATTCAGTAATGATGACTGCCAATTTTTTGGTGTACAGATAAATACACTATTTCCTCTGTGTTTCCAGATTTTAAAAGAGATTCTGTAGTGAATTTATTGTGCTTTTCTCAGATTAANCTGTGCAATCCCCACTCAAACACTCAGCCAACGAGAAACCCTGCACTCTCAGATGAGCCCTCAGTACTGGGAGATGGGCAGCAGCTTAGAGCAAATGAGGTGTTAATGCAAAGAAAGGACATCATGGCACGGATTGCTGAGCTGACACTGCAGAATTCAGCTATCAAGGCACATCTGAATAATATTATTGGGCCATGGGGTGAGCAAGGGGATGGACTTCGGGAGTTAAACCAACAGGAGACAAGTCATACTGGTGACATGACTGCTGTGAGTACCAGTTAAGGATTGACTGGGGTCATATAGGAATTTAAGTACATTGCTGGAGCGTCTTAAGGGACTTCTTTCCCGAAGTGATCCTGGGTAATCTTTGAGGCTGCTACTGGATGGCTTATTTTTTGTCTTGTCCTCATCACAAAATAAGCAGAAGTTATTTGTCAGTTTGTATCTCAAAATAAAACAGGACAACATAAAATAAAGAGTGAGGAATGAAGGAGAAAATAGGACAAAGATAAAATGTGTAGGAAAGCTAAAATTAAGCTAGGAATGAAGTTTTAAGTATGACATGTAGAATTACTATGACTTGAAAATTTGCTGCAGAACTACATTTTATTTTTTATTTATTTTTTAAAAGATTTTATTGCGGAATTGGGGGAGGGGAACAGTATTGGGGAATTGGGGGAGGGGATCAGCCAAGTTGTTGTTCTTCAGTCTGCGTCGTGGCGGGTGCCAGTTGCATTCTGGCTTCCTGTTGGCAGCTTGTGGCCTCTAAGCTCAAGGTGCTGTGTTCAATCTTAGTTGCGTGTGGGCGTAGCCACCATCCCATGCGGGAGTTGAACCCTCAGCCTCGTTAAGAGCACACGCTCTATCCACTGAGCCATCCGGGCGGCAGCTTAGCTCAAGGCGCCAAGTTCAGTCTTAGCTGCGGGTGGACGTAGCACACCATCGAACAGTCAATCTTGTTGTTACACCAGCTGAGCCACCCTGCCACCTGTTGGCAGCTCAGCAACAGCTCAGCTCAGGTGCAGCATCACTGGCCCATGTGGGAATTGAACCAGTGGCCCTGTTGCTCAGAGCTCCCGCTGTTAAGCTAACTCTTAACCAACCGAGCCACTCGGCCGGCCCCAGCTACACAACTACATTTTAATTGAAAACATTTTTACTCGTAAGGGGGCTCATAAAAAAAGAGAATTATGTGTTGTTGGCCCTCAACTCATAAGTAGTTAATTTTTTAGGACACAGAATGTATTTTCCTATAGAAATGATTTTAAAGGATTCTTAAAGTCATAATTTAATGTACATACGAATTACCTGGGAATCTTGCTAAAATACAGTTTCTGATTGAGTGGGCCTGAGGTAGGACCTGCGCATGTCTAGTAAGTTCCCCAATGTTGCTAGTCTGAGTATTACATTTTGAGTAGCAAAAGTTTGCATATTATAGTATAGGAATTGTGTAGGTTAAGTAAACTGTGGGCTAACCTGGTAACTTAAGCCTTCATTTCCTTGTTTGTGGGATGAAAAGGGATCCTAAATTGCGACGTGAGTATTTCTAACCCAGTGATGGGAGAGACTTCCTTTCATTTCTTAGTGCGCCACAGTGGCTCCTGCCAAGGTTGTGATAGCGGACAGGACAGTGTTTTAGCAGTCGGGAGGGGCTGACAGCATCATGGATCAGGGATCCCAGGGGTGCTTGCTTCCATAAGGGCCTTACCAAGGGTGGATCCAGGGCTTCCATGAGGAAGGATAGGAGATTGGGGATAGTAAGGTTAGGGGATACGGGCC